TAATAATTTCTCAGGATGTCGTCATCAGTTTTTTGTAGGGATGAAGGTTGATATATAAAATGTCACTGACACTAATAATAGTGTTAATGTGTTTCCAGAATGATAAATGGGGTGATTCGGAGATAATCGATGGAATAAATTGGTTCATACATAAATTATTTGGGATGTCATGCATAACGAATTCTAAAACTGTTGAATCTGTATTGTAATTACGGCAACCAAAAGACCAAATATTATAGCAAAAAAAATCCTCACGTTAAATATTTACCAGTACCATTTTAGTTCGTTTTTAGAATGGAGTTAAATCTATGGCTACTAATGATCGCTAGAAAATTTGTATTTAGACATTTTTTAAAAATAACGTCATTACTTTATTCTAATATCCCAAAAGGAATGAATAATTAGAAAAATCATTAGTGTAGGTACCAGATAAAAAAAGCAAGCAAGTAAAATTTTGATGAAAAATGAGTGATTAAATAAAATGTACTAAATATATTCTAAATCAAGATTTGCCAGCGTTTTACCAAAATTTCAAAAAGTCGTTGGATGGTCTGTGGAATCAACTGTAAAATGTCAATGAACAAACATTATTTTTCTGTGATAATCCGTAAAGATATATTTAAAAATTTTAAAACAAGATTGGTTCATTAATCATTAAACTATAGGTCAAGGAGAATATCAGCAGATAAATCTAAAATTGGAATTTAGGGCATTTGAAATACCAAATTTCGTAGAAAGTCCAAATCTACAAGGTCAGTGATTAACACACCTGTTGTTGTATAATTTTCGGTTGACAAAAATATCTTAACAATGATAATTGTCAATTTTGGTTTTACATTGATTGTGAATGTAATTATAGTTTGTCACTTTTTAGATGACAGTAGATGCAAAAATGTCAATGTTATTAAACCCATTTTTCTATATATACAAGGATTGAGTACCATTTAAAATCTATAGAAAGAAAAAAGCAGCAGAAGTTGCATCCTAAATTAAATCATAACAGACAACGAAACATCATTAGATTTATATTGCAATTTTTTAATTAAAAAATTTTCGATAAAACAAACTCAAACTTTCAAATACAATGCCTAGTTTTAACATTGTTAAAAATAAATGTTACAAGAAAGTTCAATGTATGAACTTTCACTCACTTGTGGACTCAAGGCCCGAGGTTAAAATAACCGACACGTCCTTCATTATGTGCTACATCAATATCAACCTTTCTGTAGAGCTTTGTACCTATATGATGAACATTTTCTCCGCACGTGAGAGAAACAACAAGTTACAAAAAATATCGTTGTTTGTGTTGTTACAGTGGGTCACTAATTTAACGCTAAATACATAATATAAGCTTGCTAACTTATTCTTCCAACAACCTTCCAAATACTGGAGAGAAATTTTGTATATTTGTGGCACACGCTCATTTAATTAACTTGACTTCTAATAATCTAAAAAGAATTTAAAGAATGTCTGTGTTTTAGTTTTAAAAAATAATATCTTAGTTATATTAGTTACTCGTATCTCCAAATAATTAGAAACTGAGTGCTCTTCGTCCGTCTTACAACGATGAAAGTTCTAAAAACAACTTTTTTTATAAAGTTAATTACCCTTACATTTTCAGGAAAAATAATATTACGCTCCATTCTAGCACTCCCTAATTTCTCAGTAGATGTCGAAGGAGAGATAACTACGAAAAGATGAACAGATAAACTGTGATTAGCGCTTTACCGTCTTTATGAAACTTTAAAAGTACACTTAAAATTTGAGTCTAGTCAGTGCACTAGTTGCAGAGATTACTGGTACCTTCGAAAAGTTTCGCAAAGATAGAACACAAACAAAAAGATGCAAACGGGAAAATCATCCTGTGAAATTAAGCTTATTTACTAGTCGCTAAATACACATTTTGATCATTTCTGCATTTCAAAGCATGTTTATAACATACTTAAGACATCGAACCGTGGAAACTGAACTAAGTAATAGACATAGATATAAGTTACGTTCTTTAGAATATGCCTTGAGAAGCAAGCAGATGCTATTAAAACAAGACTTGTTTGTTTATTTCCTGGAAAGTAGCAAAAAATTAAGTCTCCACTTAGTTTACGCGGTGAAATTCCATCTCAAAAACAACCATATTTATTAACAACAGCCGAGATGTTTGTAAATACCCGAAACAAAACACTCCTAACGCGAAAAACGGCGGATTTAAGAGAAACGAATAACGAGACATATTTTTTAATGAAAGTTAAGGAAAAATATGATATTATTAACTTTGTTACAGAAATTGTAACTTATCTTTTCTGGATCGTTAAGATAAATGAAAATTTTCTAATTTGCTAGTAGTAGATATTGTAAATATTCGGACAATATAGTGTGCTGTTGGATTACAATCCTTGACAAAGCAGCACTTATTAGTTTCATTTAAATTACGAGTAGTTAGAAATTACTTATTTTTAATTGAAAAAATATCAGACATAAGACAACCATTAGATATGAAGCTTTAAAAATTATAATATTATAAAGTATATTCGTGTGGAAGAACGTCAACGATTTTTTAGCTGAGATCAGAACTGTCGTGGCTGGATTGATTTTTCATTTTTTTTTATCTTAAATTAAAAAATAATAATTAATAATAGGTCAAACGATTTTATGACGTTCAACTTTGATTCTGCTAGACTTCTCGTCCGAACACTCGTTCTTTATCTAACTAGGTAATAACGCTACGTACACGTTTCCACACACAATTTTTAAAGTGATCACATCCTCCGAACGGCGATCTCATCTCCTAATTGTCACCAAAGGTCGCCCCAACCTACCAGTTGTCATTATAAATTTAAACTAAAGTTGCAACAATATTTGAAGGGTGGTTCGGACGAGAATAGTTGCAAAATCAAGGTCGAACGTCATAAAATCGATTGACCTGTTTAATTGTGCCTCGTCTTCTCGTCCGAACACTCTTCCTTTATCTAACTAGGTAGACGTTTAACGAAATAATATCGCAAATGCAATCTGCAGAACGAATACACGATATATGAATTAAATATGTATTCTATAATCATGCCACACTGTGTTTTTTGTCATATTGTATATAGAACAATTAACAGGCTGAGGCGACCTCTGGTGACAAATAGCAGACGAAATTGCTGTTCAGAGGATGTGACCATTTTAAAAATTGTGCGTGGAAGCGAGTATGTAGCGTTATTACCGAGTTAGATAAAGAAAGAGTGTTCGGACGAGAAGACGAGACACAATAACACAACAGTGTCCTCATGAATGTTACACTTTTTTTAACGATAACAAATTGCAACATCTTAACTTACCTTAGTTCCTATATTTGAAACTTTTATGAAATGAAATATAAGAAACTGAATGCAAGGTTTCCACACGTTTTACTACATCAGAGAATGTTTTAAATAAGTACCAACTTAAGTGAAATATTTGTGGTAATAATATTGTGATTGTTTTCACAGGTAATATAAATGAACAGTTGACATATTTAATTAGATTTACACCACACTAACTCATCTCTAATTGGTAATCAAAACAAGAATTGTCTTTCTACCAAATTTTGATTGGGCTCTGCCTTTTTTAGTTGTAAACTTGGAACCTTACTTTGCCTGGTTGTATGAAAATTAATCCTCATGTGAAAATACAATTATTATTATTATTATTTACTTAAAGAGCGTTTTACTAAACCTTGTGTACTAACCAAAGCGACTGGAAATATATTCTCAGGTGAATACAGAGCGTGAGAATTCAACACTTCTACATATATATTTAATAATCTGCTTACTAACAAGTCCCACAAGTTCAACGTTAGTTACTTTTTCTTTGTTACATTTTTCCCTGAAAAACTTCATTAAATGATTATAAACCACGCATCGCATTTTAATTGAAAACTACATTTAGCAATTCGCTCTCTCTCCAGTCGGAAATTGGATACTGAAATTTACTAGAAACATTACATAAACCCGATTGTGGAACTAAATAAATCTCTACGGATTTTTTTCTCTCAATTGAAAAAGTATTCATGTGGTGTGTTAACACAATAACCAAACGAATAATTTGCGACTATGGTCTAGTTAAATGCAGAGTTTGCCCCGATACAAAAACAGCTCTAACATCAAAGCTATTTTGTTTAATTTTCTCCGTTGAAGTGTTGAAAAAAAAAAACGTGTTGTAGACTTCTTATTTTTAAATTAACTGTGAGCTTTCACTATTTTATTTATCACATCATCACCTAAAAAATGTTGTAGCTACTAATAAGAAGATGAAATTAAAAATGCAAATGACGGAAAGTTTTTTTGTTTGACTGACTATGGAACACAATATACACTTAGGAACGTACAACTTTAGATGGATAACTAATTAAACTATAAAAGACTGTTGACAGTACTTTCATGTGTTTGATATATTTTGTAGAAACCTGAAAAACGCACAATATATCCCCTCAAACACTTTTTGTTATTTCAAATAAACTACCTTGAAATCATAAAAAAATATATACCCTATAAACAGGTTAAAATAAATATGACAGTTGTTCAAATATGACTTGAACGATTAGTTTATTTTATGAATAAAATGGATGAAGAAAAATGATTAATTTGAAACCTTTCCATACGTTAAAGTTCCGTAATACATAAGGTAAATGTATACATCGCATAAATCCAAGTAGTAATTGGCTTTAAATCCATATTTTTCTGCTGTTGAATGTATACTTTTTATTTATAAAGTCAACAACTCTGAGACAAAATAACAAACGTCAATTTAAAGAATTTTTTATAATATAAATTTTCCGCTTCTTTACGGTACAAGTTAATACCGGCTTCATTAAAGAGGTATTAAAACTGACTAATTTAAAAAAGCAATATTAAAGCTTCCGTGAACCATCTGGTACGCTCTGTTAGTTATAAAAATATGTTATTGAATTGCTTCTATTTTCTAAAGTATTAACGTTTCAGCAATGAAAAGCGTTTTATTGTAAAACTTTAAATTATTTCCAGGGTCTGGAACTGAAAGGTCAAATGGTGTACTGTCCGGAATCCGATTCGATATTGTTTATCGGTTCACCTTTCTTGGACGGACTGGAAGGTCTCACCGGCAGCGGCCTTTTCATCTCTGATATTCCCATGCACGATGCTACAAGAGACGTCATCTTAGTAGGGGAGCAAGCGCGAGCGCAGGTAATTACGAGATTAAAAGAAACCAAAAACGAGTAAATTCTGTCCACCACAAACACCTTAATTTCCGGTTTTGTTCCGTATAAATCAAGATTTACTACCGGAGTCGTATTTCCTAACGAGTTAATGATGACTTGTCTTTGGCCAGACGTAAAGATACGAGATAATCTGAAACTTTTCCGCTGACGGTTAATTGAGATAGAGCAGAACGACGTCGTGATAAAAAGTAGATGAATTTAATTAATTTGTTTGATTAGACGAAACAAGACTCTTGGCAAAATCTAAATAACGGACTGTGTTATGTAGGTTTGTTTTGTTGAATAAAGATAACATTTACAACTGAAACTACGACTAAGATTCCCATACTTTTTTAGGAGATTCGATTTTCACAACTTTATCTGGGGACTTAAACAAACTAGAATAGTGACTTTGTGTGCAGTTTAATCTCCGATTTAAAACTTTTCAGGCGTTTATATACCACAAAGTTGGAAAGGAAACGCAAACTTAGAAAGTAAATTGTATTGATTCCAGTCTCCAAGTAGAATATATTAAGTAGTTTCAGGAGAATATTTTAATTTTCTTCCGAAGCATTTTGGTGTTGATATCAAAATAAAAGGAATAAAACTAAATTTACTTACCACTACCAAAATCAATTTTTGTATGTTAATCACAGCAGAGACAAAATTAGAAAAAATCTTATTAGGTTTCAGTAAACTTTTACATGGTGGTTATTTAATTATTCCTGTTCATGTTCCCTACAATTGAAAACAAAATAGATTATATAACAAATCAAGAACAAATAAAAAATTAATCTACAGAAAAATAAATAAGTATGTAAAATAATTACCACTGTGAACCGATTATAGTAACCAAATGTTTCTCGTCTTGTTACAAAAATAAATTGTATGTCGTTTACTTCCCACATGCTATAAACATCAACAGTGTATAGATTAAATACACGTGCAATCATTTTCATTTTTTACCATAATTTTACATACTCTTCGTTCTAAACCGCCGTTCATTGCATGCTGGAAAATTTAGTGGGGCATTTAGAACATTGTTAATGAATGAAGGTTGAGGTCGTTCTCCACACTTTTTATTTTGTTTTTTATTCAATACAGTAGTTGTTTCGGGAAACCACGCTTTTCATTTTCACACTCACAATTCAGACACGATTTCACCCTAACATTCAATTTATTCCCAAGTAAATCCTATTTAAAATGTGCACAATTTTGCACTTTTTAACTCCTTTTTAACTCTATTCATTTAGCTTGTGTAATAAAAACAAAAAAATATATCCTCAACATAATATTGTTAATAAATGTCATTGCTCATTTTTAACGAAGAGAATCTTAAATACATCCAGTGTTAATTACTGCATTTGAGCTGAGAACATCCTGGAAGTTAGCAACTTTTTTGTCTCACTTTTAAATTCCGTGGCAAGTCCAATTTCTACATTTAACCTTATAAATATTTACGACTTTCATCCATAAATTAGCAAGTTTTAACAAAATATTAACGCTAATAATATAAGATTTATTTTTGAGTAATAACTTTATATTAAATGTGTTTACTCCCTGTGTTTAGCTTTACGATACATAAAAACTATCCCTGAAGTTTTATATCTGAAAGATTTCAGCACTATATTTGTGCTCATCTATCAGTCCTTCAAGATTTATTAACCATATCGATGTCTTCGGAACTGTAAACGTTATTTTTTCAACTATCAATATAATGACAGATCATTTTACGTTGAAACATGATGTATTGCCTTATATCAGAATTTCTCAGTTTGTTTCTGTTTTTCTTATGATGAGTATTTTTCCTTTTTCTTTTCTCAGCACATCCGCCCATTTTTATGTTTGCAGATAAATCGCCACATTCGACTCACGTCATTGACTCGACAATGGCATTTTTCCGAAAGCGTAACAATTGGAACAGCAAGTACGAAACATTTCCTGAATGCTCTATTGATTTTATTGGCTGCTGAAAATAGCAACACAAATTAGCTAAAATTTCCGTTATTTGATATTTTTACTCTGTGGTTTTCACAAATGCAATTTTAAACATTGTCTGGATGTCATTCATCTTGACATTTATGTAAATTTTATTGTTCCTATTATAACGGTCCAATTTATTTATTTAATTCGTACCAATCCATCCCTATATTCAACCCTACCATGTACATGCACACACTTATTATTTTCTAAATTTTCTTTCTATTCTGCATTCGGTTTAGCTTGGCAGCATGCAAAACTCGTGTTCATTAAGGTTTAGTCATTCCGCTTCTATTCGTGTTAAAATTTGATTTTTATATTTTAAAATTTAATACTAAATCAAATTATTTCTTGAATTTTCATAATTTTAAAATTGCGTTTTTTCGTTTCTATCACGTCATATTTTAAAAACTACTTTTTCAAAATTTTGTCCTAGTTTTTTATCTGTAATATAACCAAGCCCGTTCCCTCGGCAGTGGTTTCGCTAGATAGTGGGTAGGGACGATGGGAATCTCTTTAATCCATTCATGCGCGTCGCTAATTAAATGACGAGGCATTTGACTGATTTTGTGTTTTTAAATTTCTATCAAAAAAATTTTTCTTTGTTACTGGTACAAAAGGTGTATTGAAATATTTAACATGCGACGTTTTTTTTTTATTATTGAAGATTTTAAAGTCAATCAGTGGCAAAGTTGTAGAGCATGATTTGAAATAGTTTTTGTAATGAAGATCTGTCTTTAAGATTCATGTATCAACTTCTACAGAAATCGGTAGATTTTTGGATAATTGACAACACCTTCGCAAATTCTCCCATATAAATTGCTTACGAGTTTTGTACACTGTCAAGTCAAAGCGGAACGAACTTTAGACCTGAACAGAATCTAAGGTACAACACGCGTAAAGATATTCTGTCCAGAAGCCAGTTTTTTTTATCAGTTCCATCGATTTTCCAAAAAAATTGTTAATATGCATCGTGACAGTGAAGGTATTTTTTGTGGCTTACGTGATTATTTGTTTCGGCTTCATCTCAGCAAAAAAATAAAAAACATCCACTTCACTGCCTTCCCACGCAAATAATTCGTACTGAGAATGACAATGAACGTCATTTCCGAATCGAAACAAACATGAAAAAGTTGACATTTTGCAAGCAAAGCACAAAAGTACTCTTTCGCTTAATGCCACTTTGTTTCCAATTTTCATTTGATTTCAGACCCATCTGTTGTTGTTAAAGCATGGAACACAAGCCCAATAAAAACAAAGCCGTGTGAATTACGAGAGTTGTCGTTCCCTACGCGCTTACCTATGATACATCGTTGCGGTTACACAGTGTGATGTAATAAAGAACATGTCGGTGTAAGCAATCCCCAGAGGTCTATCAGACAAATGCACTGTGGTGCATACACTGCACCAGAAATTTATCGGAGGCGAGCATTTGCCGCTGACATATTCATCTACATTCTATTTCGATTTAGAGGGAAAGCCCCGTCTGTGTAGACACCTTTAAAATATTTTTGCACCATCCGCGAACAAATATTTTATGTGTTCGATTCGATTTCAGGACGGCTTACGTCGCCGAATGGATAAACTGAAGAGTTCAATTGAGGAAGGCAACAGGGCTGTGGATAAGGAAAGGGAGAAGAATGTTAGCTTATTACATTTGATTTTTCCACCAGACATCGCAAAGCGGCTGTGGCTTGGTAAGGCAGTTCTCCTTAACACTAAAGACACAATAATCTGACACAACACATGACATAAAAGTACTTATGTCCGTCTCAAGTAAAAACCATAAACACGCACGATAAACAAGATGGCTTCTGCTTCACTTCCTTTCAAATAAAGCTTTAGTACTAAGTTCTCAAATCTATTTAACGCAACAATTTTTTATTAATTTGGATCAGCGTTTATATTTCTAACAGGGGCGGCTGGTCAGGGGCGGCAGGGTCGGCCACGCCGTACCAGTCATTTTAAAATACTTAGTAAGCGTTGAAATTAGAAAATAAAAAAAGAAATGAAGTTTGAATGTACGTTAGGATAGATCATATATATTAAAAATATATTTTATTATATTGTAGGTACAAAACAAAGCATTTGTTGCTCATTTTAAATGCTGATAAACACGCTTTGCCGGCGAGATTTCGGCACGCCGTACCCAGGAATACATAATGCTCGATGTTTCGACTTCGTAGCAGCTTACGGTTTCATCGTTCTCTTTGTCTACTACACTGTAGTAGACAAAGACCTGGCGGAACGTATGTTGCGCCAGGTCCGGCGAAATCCTCCTTCGCCGTACCCAGCAACGCGAATTTAGTTTTTAAAACGCTTAATAAGTATTTAAGATAGCTAGCAAAACTACAAAACAATAACGGCTTCGATGTTCTTCAGTGCATACTATTTTTTTTTAATAATAATTGTCGATTTAATACATTTTCCTGTGTATAAATAATAAACGAAAAAAATTACATTAAATTATCTAAAATTTTATTTTTCGTACATAACTTAGCTACAACATAAATGCGCTTTTTCTGTATTTTTAGCATCTAGGCGTTTTCAGATATTTCAGAAAGGAATTTAAAGTTTTAAATCATTTTAATTTTTTTAATTTATTTGACAATTTGTCATATACATTTAAAAAAAAATAAATGTAAATGAAGATAGGTAACAGTTGGTACTTTTATTACTACTTTTTTTTATATTTTTTAACTGCATGTCATTATTTAATTATTATTATTTAATTGTGGATGTCCGGGGTCGGCAAGCCGTATAGCCGCCGGTCGACGCGGAACTCAGTAAAAATAATGTTTTCGGTGGTTCTCAATTAATGATAAAGCAGAGAAAGTAGAATTAAGGATTAATAGTATTTGGAATCAAACTGACATTGTCAGTTTCCTATAAAAAAATTATTTTAACAGGTCGAAACATTTGAGATGTTTTGTACATCCTGGCACGTAAAATGTCAGTGGTTAACGAGTAACGGCCATACATTACGAAAATATATAACACCACGGTGTAGACTCAAAATATTTAGCCGACCCGAAATTTTGACCCACCAGCCGCCACTGATTTCTAAATACAGTGAAATAGTATATCTAGTATTTTTTTAATCAGCATCAGAATTAGAATACGTTAGCTTTTAGAATATTAAAAATTTAGAACTCTGCGTATCATTCTCTTTCTATCTTGACTATGAATCTCCTGATTTGATTAAATACGACTTGGACAAATGTAGTTCAGTTTAAAAAACGAAGATAATTTTAATGTGAGCGTTTGTAGTCTTGTTTTTGCGTGAAAAATGTTCTTGTTATTAAATACTTTAAAAGTTTGGAATAACTACTGCTGTTTTATGGCCAAATCTTTTAACTGGGTTTATGTTCTCCAAGAAATTTTATGCTAACGACTCCAAAAGTAAGTACTAAAACCATTATATTTCATGTTAAAATTAAATTAGCCAAGCTAGAACATGGTAATAATTCTTTGATTAATTGATTCAACTAAGGATTTTTCAGTATTTGCCAATGCAAACAGTGTATTCGTATTTACACTTGTTATTCACTCTTATGGTTATTTCACATATCAAAAACCTTTTAAAAAAAACCTAGATTTTAAATTTACATTTTTTCGAAAAGGTTTCCTACAAAAGTAAGATCAAATAAAACACTTTCAACACTTCTCAAAGAGAAAAATGTCGAAAGCAGAACTGTAAAATTACAAACATTTTTTCTAAAAATATAGTTATAATATATATACGCTTGCCAGTTGAAATAACTTACAGCGGTGCACATCTTAAATTTTGCTTCCTAAGCAACAGCTCCATTCATTTTGGTAAAGTTAAATTTCTAATATAAGGTAGTAGTGCCCAAACATAGTGTCAAAAACATTAAGGTGTGCATGCCACCCTTCAATGTTAAATCAAATTTATGCTTTTTGTAACATACTAAAATTATGAACATGAAAAATAAAACCACATTTTTAATTTGTTTGTATAAGATAAGCTATAGACCATGTCAGAAGCTTGTCACACAAGCACAGCACATAGGAGTTGCAAATACATTAGTTAAAGCGTGTTTCATAACTTATCATATTTTTAAAATGATTGTATGGCAGTAAAAAAATCTAGTATGTTGCACGTGATTTTAGGCAATCTCCGTAAAATTAAATGACAATAATTTTTGTTTTACACTTGAATGTTAAATCATACTCCGCTTATGCAGAATTCAACTATTTTACATAGTCAAATTAAGGTCAGTGTTAAAAAAATACTGCTGTTCATCATTTTGAAGAAGGGACATACATATATTATCTATAGAAAGTAACAAACACTTTACTCCAACAAGTAGAATACAAAACTTAACTTATTCAAAAGACTTTCGGCAATTTTAAAGTATAATATTTTCACAAAAAAATAAATTTTCAGAATGTACCCAATATCTCCATTATTAACAAACTTATTGTTATAAAATTTTAAACATGACCCTGTCCACACCTTGCTCTCTATAATGCAAGGGAGTGTTTTTAAAACATTTACCCTCACCTTCTTTTTAAAATATTGGTAAGAATTTTCATCAATTATTATCTTTAAAAATCAATCTTATCGCATCATATTTATAGAAATTTTAGACTTTTTTTTTCACCACTCTTTTCAGCTTACAAAACTCTATAAATCATAGGAAAAAACAACGTCGACTTTTTGTAGGAAATGAAATACAGTAAAAGCAGGCTTTGTCGAAGAAGTCTTTTTGCTGTATCTCATTTCCACGATTGATAGAGGTTTGAACACTGCATTCCGAAATTTCCTTTAATAATTAAGATATTGATTTTTAAAAATACGTGAAGAAATTTTCATCAAAATTATAAAAAGATGATAAACTTCTTGAGAACGGATGGTGATATCGAAGTTCTCTAAACGCCTTTGTCTTTAGCTTAAAGGGGAAGGCTTAATTTAGTACATTGCAAATATGACGCACAGTCTCAATTATTTACTTGTTATTATGAAACTGGATCAATATAGGAGATACATAATTTTACGATTCCACAACCTTCAGGTATGTCAATAACAAGGGTCAAATAATTTGCATACTGTCTCGACAGCGTCTTTAAAATCCATCTCTAAATACTGGACCTTCTCCTAATAAATTAAAAGCATAACTGACGAAAGAGGACGTTAGATTACCTACATTTACAAAAAATACTTTATTTATGTTTTGCTTTAATCAACGTTGATTATAAATTGGATAGTTTAACAAAAAAATACTTCCAGTTATCCAACAATATTTTCTACACTGTCGGCTTTTAAAATGGAAAAATAGGTTACAGTTTTATCTTAAAAAGAAAAATTGCTGTTTCGATTTTTACTAAAAGAAAAAAAAAACGAAAGCCACTAATTCAGTGTAAAAATTATTCCCGTCAAAATTTTTGTATTACGAACAACTACATATACCTATGTCGCATGTGTACTCAAGTGGTATCGTAAAAATGAAATTGGAAAAAGCGTTTCGCCTTATTTTGGCGACTGTAAGGAGGAGGCTTATATTGTTTCTTGAGTTTTAATTATATTTACCTTTAAATAATTAGAATGATACCATTTTTCTGCTAAAGTAATGATTCGGTCGACGTTAGTGCCAATTTCACTATGGCCTGTATTGTAATATCATGTGCATACATAATTACACTATCCGAGGAAAGGAGTAGAAAATATCGTTTACATAAATGATATAATTATATAAGCTTTGTTCTTGCCTTGGGACACACCATGTTTAGTTTCACGGGTTATCGAATTCGTGTGATTTATAGTGACGGAATGTTTTCTTCCATTTAATTAGGTTTAATGGTATTCCTCTTACCCCATACACTTCAAGTTCATTTAACAACAGTGAGTGAGAAACACAGTCAAATGCTTTACTTAAGTCCAGTAGCGTAATGGTTGTAGATTCACTATTTTCAAATCTGTTGATTATTTCTCACTACCTCATAGACAGCATGTATCGTGGATAGATTACTTTGAAATCCAAATTGCGATTTATGAAATAAAGAAAATTTCTTAAAAAAAGTAATTAACCGATTTTTTAATAAAAGATTTCAATAACTTCACCAAAGGGCACGATGGATATTGGACGATAGTTATCTTTAATATTTGGGTCCCCCATTTTAAAAACAGGTACCACTCTACTTAATTTGTACATGTATGGAAACACTCCCGAACTGAAAATCATGTTTGTCAACTGAGTAAGTGGATCAATTATTATTATGAAATCAAGAGTAATTTTTAAGTATGCAGACATTCATCGAGTAAGCATCAAACTAATTAGTATTTTTCACCAATGTGAGATAAAGTGAAAAAATATAAATTACCCAGGGATTATTAATGCATTTTAGACATGCTTTAAGTTTCTTGTTGCTAAAATAAATCTACACATTTTAAGAAAAAAAAAGGCAAAATGTAGCCCCGCCCACCCACCCTACCACTATTGTGATGATTTTAACTGCAAAATCCCTATTTCTTTACGAGAATTTAAAAACATGTTTCTGAGTATCGTGTTGTTCAAAGAATACGATGTATACATATATTAATAAAAACAATAAAACTAAAGATTAGGCCCCACCCATACCCGCCCGGATTGCAGTTTTCAATTGTGATGAAGTTTTCATTCGTTGTCAGATGGAGGGGCAGAGTTTAATTGCAAAATCCATATTTGTCTATAAG